GAATACCTGTTGATGGGGAGACGTCGGCGAAGAATGGCATCATCCCGGTTTCGTAAATCCGCTGAGATGAAGAGCGGAATTGCTTCCTGCATGTATTACTCCATAAGATCTCGGCCACATGAAGGACCGATGTATCGAGTGCTCGGTCTATTGCTTCCTCTACAAAATCCCTTTCAGATTACTATATCAACAAGACAATCATTGAGGGAAACCAGTTTTTGGCAACGAAACATTTCTATACATAGTAGTTCTAGGTACGGCAGTTCGGTGGGTGCTATCACACCTCCTCTCGGACAAGGCGACAAACTGGCGCGCGCTGATGATGAGGAATCATTCACCACGACCCCACACCCTGACCGACCCATCACCCTTAAGTTGATATAGCCATTCGGCATCATCCAAGTCATCGCCGTCTCCAGATCTCCTCTGGGTAGTAGAGGGTGCGTGTTCGTCATTCTCGTTACCTTCATACCCACCACCCTTGCTTGCCCTGACCACGCCGGACACGTCTTTCGCGCTGCCCGTGTCCAACCCTCGGAGTTGAAACACCCAGCGGCTTTGATGCGCCATGGCCGTCACGAGATGTGCGTGGTTGCGCTCCAGGGGTGTCCCTTCTTCGTTTGTAGAGGCGGCAATGCGCAGCAACGGAGCGTCGGCGCTGCAGGTAAGGATCAGCGCGCGGGACTGAGTGCGGAGAGTGGACAGGAATGCCTGCACAGATATAATTGGGAGGAACGGTTGGCTGGCTGCGAGATAGTCAATGCCGTCAAGGATGATAAGTGGCTTTGTGGTTTCGGGGAGTTGTGTTGGAAGGGTAGAAGTCGGAGGCAATCGAGGTGCTGGCGTGCGTGATAATGATAAACTCGATACCGACGGAGAGGGAGACGTAGTCGTGGAGAGACTCTTTAAGCCCGAACTCAAAGCATCCTGTACATCGCCCAGTGCCAGCGACTTCAGCCTCGTCGTTGGTGAAAGGGACGGGTCTCCTGCACTACTGCTTCCTCCTCCTGACACTGAAGGACGGGGCGATTGACTATAAGAGAGGCTATCGATATAGATGATTTTCCTGCTGCGGAGCAGTGACTGAATATCAAGACCCTACCGAAACAGTCAGCGTCGAGGTCGCACGCACCGATCAACAAATGAGCTATGATTAAGACGCAAGTAGAATCGCGAGGTTACATAGACCTGACAGGGAGAAGACCAGACAGATTTCTCCGGCGGTAATGCGACGGATTTAGAAAATCCCACAAAGGGAAAAAAAGTCAAACATACAATCTTCTTTCCCAGTTCAACCCACAGAGTCAGAGGCCGCAGAAAACTCGCAAAAATAACCGGCAACGCCGTGGTCGCCGACGTTTTCTCAAGCCCCTGTACGTCTCTCCCCTCTCTCGTGCCAATGTCGTCCTCGACCCCGTACAAAGCCGCGTAGATGATTCGCAGAACGAGCCAAGGCGAGGGCGTGCTGAGAACCGAGGTGATGAGTGTTTGGCTGTGCAGGGTGGACGGGGACAGCGAGGACTGGATGTAGCTCGCTAACGGAGGCGGGATTGCTGGGGGCATATTATTTTATCTTCCCTCTATAGAGACGTTCTGGAGAAAAGTGTCTCATGTCTCCTCCCCTGGTCTGACAGCATGAAGTGAAAAGGGTTTCTGTGTGTGTCACTAAGCTTGAGGATCTAAAAACTCGCGACAACGAAGATTTCGAGTACACGGTCAGGTGAGTGGCGGGACTTTCTCAACAGCACCCTACATACACACGAAGATACCGAGATACGAAGAACCACTACGGACAATGGAAGAAGTATACGAGAGTGGTAGTTTCAATGCTGAATTTTCCGATTCTCTGAGGCTCTTTGAGCAGATCTCATGCTTGAAAAAAGCAAAGACAAAGTTTGCCCTCATGTTTTGTTTTATCTGAACCACGCCGCCGCATCTGATTGCGCCCAGCCATATGAGACCAGGAGAGCAACGTCCTTGGTTTTCCCTATGTGGCTGCCACTCCCTGCCTGTGCATAAACCACCTTTGCCCCGTCTGTCAAGCCACACAAAGGCTGTCCATCCGCACTTAGTTTTATCGCAAGGCTTTGCTCTCCAGTAAACCACATTTTCAATGTATTTCAATGCGAAATCATGAAGCTCCTTCACACGTCATCTTGTCTCTTCAATCATGCCTTTGCGGGTCCACGAGCACCCTTGGGCGTTCCGGTCCTGAATGCGTTGGTTGATTTCCTGTATTCACAAAAGCCTCGTCAGTCTCCATGCTAGATCTTGGACCAGGTCATCCCGGGCCGGTGTATCGACCCATCAACCGCTTTATTCTGCCTTGTTCACAGTTCTTCATTGACACGCAAATTTCACCCTGGAATAGCACACCGCCCTCCTCTTCTTCCGCGAAGCCATCGACATGAAAGGGACAGTAGGAGTCCTTACCGAGCAACCAATTTCAACGACCTCATTCTGCCAGTGCCGGTGGTCTTGCGTCTCTTGGCCTTCTCGCTCCATTCGTATTTGCGGGTCTTAGCGGCGGGATACTACATTGCACTGTCAGTTGGCCAATCCTCCAATGTGTTCGTCTGATGTATGTTGTGAAGTCGCATGTCGTGGATCGCAGCGGAAAGGAAAGGCGATGGACGGCGAAAAGGTGGAAGGAAGGGATTTCAACGTACTCCGCAGTTGGCGCAAGTGTGTTTTTGGATGTGCAGGCTTCGACGACCGCATCTGTATCAAAGTCAGTCCACTGTTGCGATTTGACATCCTCTTCGATGCCCCCAAACGCGAAACCCAGCCCAAAGACAGTGGAAGGAAAAAAACCGTACCTCCGGCACAGAGTATGCGTCTTGTTGTGTCCTGTTCACAAGCTTCCCGTCAGAATACCAAATTTCTCAAAACCGCTTGACAAACTCCTCAAGAGGAGGTTGTGTGTGGATTAGAATTTCCTCACTCTTTCCGAACGAGCTCGTTCCCTTCGTCATTTTGGCGGATTATCAGACAAGACGTTCTGCGAGAAAACAATCAGTGGTCGGATCGTCGTGAGTCGGGGAGAGGGTTTCAGTTCGTACGGGGAGACTTGTTTGTTGAGTTGAAGGGAGACGTGGTGGAAGAGTCGGGCTCGAAAATTGACGAGCCGAATCGAGATGCAAAGGAGCGGGCGCATTTTTCGTGGGCGCCAAGATTTATGCCAAGACACCCACCAAGTCAGGCTCAGCCTTGCGGGAATGCCTCAGCCTCGCGTGCATGAGCTGCACGCACTTGTTCTGCCTCCACATTATTTTCTTTGGACTCTGCCATGCAATTATTACGGATGCGATGCAGCTATCAAAATGAAGTGCTTAGACCTATATGAAAATGTGTAATCGTGAAGCGTGCTGACACTAGTCCACCTTTGGTGCCATACCACAAGAAAGGCTTCCGAACTGTCACTACAGGGTCACAAGAGCTAAACCCTCATGACGAAAGACCAAAGCAAGATAGGGAAAGAACATCTCATTGACCTTCGCTGCTGAAAGATGGATCTACTCCGACTACTCAGTCCGAGAAAGGTGTGGCCGTTATGCTTGGCCAAGGAAAAGATCCTGTTCCGTTCACACGCCCTGCTATGACCACGGTTGATTTTAGGGAGCCTGGGCACCGTCAAACATGTCTCGCGTACGTTTCGAAACAGTCAAAAGATATGGCCAAGCGGAAAAAGGCCAATCCACATTGCTTAACGGAAGGGAGTGTGTGGCATATCGATTATTGTACAAACTCTCATTTTCCTGAATACCATTGATTACAAGGGCTACGACGCTCCATCCTGTCCAGTAACCCGAAATTAGTGCTGCATGAAATCGCCCGATCATTGCCGGCACCGTACTTACACGGCTGGTCGATTCCATCTCAAAGGCGACCGCTTTAACTTCCAAGAAGGGGTCTGCTTCCACGAAGGACTTCCTGCCCGCAACGGCGGTCCCGTCATTGCCGGCGTCCCTGACGTTGCCATTCCCGTCCCAAAGCTGGTGGCGAGGCAGGAACAAGCACTGCTGACCCTCTTAACATCCGCTGAGCACCCACCCAAGAATGTGGGCAGAGGCGCGGTGTTGGATGATATCTTGGTGTAACCAGTACAGAAGCCACGCATGGTGGATGAATAACGTGGATCGATCACATTGCGGAGGCAGTTATCCTGATTGCAAATCATCTTAGCCAAGGATGATGGTGGTGTCGTGACTGGATTTACGATGTTTGACTTAGAGCTTGTTTGAGAAGAAGTAAACTGGTTGCCAGTTGATGTCGCCGAGCTGGTAGTTACTGTCACTGACGCAACTGGAGTTTCTGTGCTCGTGGATCCTGCCGCGCTGGACGTTGTACTACTAGTTTCAGCGGGTGTGCTAGAAGTTGGACTGGACGTACTCGTGCCTGACACGGCACTGGAAGGATCCTCCGACTCCCCAACAGGGGTGGTATCGGAGGATGACACCAAGTCAACAGAGCTCGAGCTGGATGTGCTAGACAACTCGGTGGAAGCAGTGGCCGATGTTGCAGCCGTAGCAGAAGTTTTGCAAGATTGACTTGTGGATATAGATGTCGTTATCACAGTCGTCGAGGCTGCCGTAGCGGATTGGGGCTTGCTTGTCTGGTTGCCGTCCTGTCCTGCGCATGGCTGGCCAGAGCCACAGACAGGGTCAGATGTAGTGCTTGAGCCTGAAGTAGCGGTGGAGGTGGAGTTTGAAGCAGTTGACGACATGGACGATGTCGATTGGCTTCCACTCATCGAATCAGAGGGAATATCAGAGGGAGAGCTAGAGGGAATTGATGATGTTGAGGAGCCGGAAGCCTGAGTAGCAGGTACATTCAAGGTCTGCCCAACCTGCAAGCTATCCCAATTAATCCCAGGGTTTGCAGCCTCCAAAGCATCCCAGGAGCAGCCCAGTGAAGTCGCAATAGCCCAACCATAGTCGCCTGCAACCACTGTGTAGGAGCTTACTGCTTGAGAAGGAGCTGACGATGTTGTGGTGCTGCTACTTGCACCAGATGTTATCGAAATAGTAGAAGAGAAGCTTGCGCTGGTAGTCAATGTGATTGTGGTCGAAGCTGAGGTGGAGGTCACAGTGACAGCGGAGGTTGACTCGGAGGAGATCTGAGTCGAAGCCGTTGTGCTTGCTACTGAACTTGTCGAGGACAGCGTACTTGAAGAGCTTGGCTGTGTAATTGATGAAGTTATGGTGGCCGAGGAAGTTGAAATTGGAAGTGTGGAAGACATCATGGATGATGTTGATGTTGAAGATGTGTACGGAGATGAATCACTCAGCGAGCTGCTCGAGTTCGAGGTGACAAAAGCAGTCGGAGAAAAGGACGTCGTGGAAGTGATTGAGGAAGTAGGACTCGTAGTTGAATTTATTGACGTCGTAGTTGAAGTTTGACATGTACCACCCGGTACATTGAGCACTTGGCCCAACATCAACTGATCCCAGTTGACTCCCGGATTTGCTGCCTTGAGGGTATCGACATTGACTGTCAAATTCTTTGCAATCTTAGAGCCGTCATCACCAGCAGCGACAGTATAAGTACATGGGAGTGCAAGTGTCTGGTTGGTGCATTGCACAGACTGCCAAGTGCCATCGAACGGGCTAGGATATTGCCAACTTGAACAAGTTTTGCTCGTCGTAATCTTGACAGACTTCACGTAGGCTGAGAATGGCGCGGCGCTGAAGTTGGTGTATCCTCCACCCCAGTGCACAGTACCAGCAGCAGTATTTGGGTCGCCCGAGCACCACAGGCCAAGGTGCAGCCGGGATGGTGTCTGCGGGTATTGGTATGACCCAGTCGTGGCGCCAGTGTTTTTCAATGTCCTAACGGCAACGCTGTCAATAGACCAAACCAATTTCTCCGGTGTCCAATCCAAGGTGTATGTGTGGAATTCGTGTTCAGGATCGTCCACGGCAGGTTGCGAGCCGCGGTCAGAATATCCAATCTGACCTTTGCCAAAATAATTGGTCTGCACAGCACCACTGGACCCGGCAAAATTGTTTCCCGACCACTCCCAGTCTATCTCGTCCAAGTCATCCGACATCATGACGGCGCTTGTGATGATACCAGCACCAGGGGCGGCCTGGACAACCACCTCGATGCGGCCGAATAGAACATAGAAGCGGGTCCAAATATACGGGGCATCGTATCGTTTTGCGAAGGTAAAGTTAGCACCGTTAGGAGAACCGTAGCCAACTGTGGCATAGTCGGCGAGAATCCAGTCAGCAGGTGTTGTGGTTTGCTGTGTGAAATCAACAAAATACTCGCTATTTGACAACCCAGGAATCGCAGGGCAAGGGCCTACACATTTTGTAGTTAGATGGCAAGTTGAAGCACGACATCAGTTGGGCGCCAGGTTTACTGACCGTTCAGAGGGTTGCAGGCTGAAGAGGAATCTGCGTTCACCAGCCTCAGAAAGGCGATGAATGCTGCCAGAGCAAGCGAGAAAAGAGCTGAGGAAGTCATCTTTGCGGACTGGAAGATGGCTACAAAAGTTCCGAAGAAAGTTTGTAAGGACTGAAGGATGGAGGAGCAGATAAATCTTGTCTTAATCAGAAGTAAAGTGGCAGGTTTACTAGCCCTTGAGGGTGTGGCAGACAATGGAGCCCTCCTCACCGTTCACTTACCGACAACTACTACGAGAACAAAGGTGAACGAGACAATGAAGGGGTCCGCTTGCGCTTCACGTCACATAGCGAATTATATTTTTGGCACCAAGGCTGTGACATATGTCGATAGCGTGGACGCTCATTGTCATGTAGGAGTTCTATGTGGGAATAAGTCACGGTAACGAGACAAGTTATGCCTAGAGAGTCAATCGTGATGGTATAGGTCTGTGCATCTGTGGAGGGGAAAGAGAAACGAAAGAAGCGTCAAAGAAGATGCAGCATCATCATGTGGACCCTCTTCCCTCTCGGCAGATCTTCGGCACGACTATTATCCGTTCCGCCTCGCCGAATCCGTATTCGCCATTTCATGACTAAAGATTTCCCCGAAACTCTCTCGCAACAATCCCCTTCACTGTTCCTCCAGACACAGTACATGTAGCTCTTATAGCCACTAACATTGTGTCATATAACTTCATGGTACAAATTCAGCTGAATGCTCAAAGATACAAGAATCAGACTGTCCGCCATCAAACCAACCTCGGCCGCCAGAAATGCCATCGCTCTCACCAGACGACCTGCCAAGGTAACGACATTAAGGAACAATACAAGTTCCCGTTGCAAGAGCATCGACCATAAACCCTGTGGCTGGAGCCACACCAATACAAGGGCCCGGGGAGCAAGATATCTGTGTCCTGAACCCTACGCTGGTTGCCGTACTGGTTGATTGTGAGCAAGGGGTTGGGGTTGCCGCACAGACCTCAATGATTTGGACCATGTATTCGGTAAAAGGTACAACGGTTGTCAGTGTTGTCTGACCTGCGTCGAATGTGATGGCTCTTGATGAACTGCTAGTGGTCACTGGCCCTGTAGTTGTGGCAGGTCTGGAGCCTCCATCACTGATATCTATAGAAGTTGCGCTTGTAGTTTGAGGACTGCTCGAAGAAATTCCTGGGCCTTCTGCAGAGGACAGTGTAGAAGAAGAAGTTGTCGTGCTAGGCTGACACGAAGCAGTCCCATCAGTACATGATGCGACAAAGATCGTACTAGTAGAAGTGGTCGTGGTGGTGAAAATCGCATATGATGTGCTCGCAGGTTGAGAATTCGTTGTCGATAACAGTGTGCTTGTCGTGGTGATTCCTGTTGAACTTGCTGTGGTCGAGGAAGATAACGGGTCTGCGGTGGGCTGCCCGGTGGGCGCTCCAGAGAATGATGGGTCTGGTTCTGGCTGATGTTTTGTCAGAATTGAAAATGAAGCCCGATCAAAGCTCTTTAAACCACAGTAATGCACCTTCGCAAAAACTTACTGTGGCAAAAATCTCTCCATCTGGACCAAGTATCAACAGGGCTGAGTTCACGAAACCTGAATTCCCTAATCAGCCTGAGCTCAGACGGCACCTCTACTGCCATTGCAAAGTGGTTTTGCCAACAACATCACCACTCTGCTGGAGGGTGCGTGTCAAATATCTCCACCGTGACTAGCAGGAAGCTGAGTATGCATACCTCCTTCTTCAGACGCGATTCCAACCGATATAACATCGGTGAACTGGGTGCAGACAGTATCTGCAGTGGCAAAAGCACCATTGAAGGTGACTGCTAAGCAAGCCCCCGGGGCATTCTGGCGATTGTAATTGACACACTCTTGGATGCAGGAGCCCAAGTCAGTCGTGTCCGTAGTTTGAGCGAGGATAACGCCATCGTAGGTATTGGAGCACTGCAGCTGCCAAGTATAGTTTCGGGCAGTGACATAGAAATATCCGTCATACAAGGTGCAGTCTGGATCGGTCGTGAGTGGAGGAGATGACTGTCGTGATCCTAGCTATTGACCTGTTAGCGATGGCCAAACTCTGACATGTGTAGTGTCTGCGAACCTTTGAAGCATCGCGGCGCGAATGATCGCGTCTTCCAGGAGCGTGTAGTAGTCTTCCCAGTCCATGCGGCGCCGGATCATCATGTCTGCTGGTCTCGGCCATCCTACATACAGCAGGCGCTGCGACTAAGAAGGTGAAAAGTGTTGTGGACAGCATTGTATGTAGCTTCATTGGAGGTAATAGGCAGAGAGCAGGAGTCAGACATCCTTCGACGAGATAACCGAGGGTAGTGGTGGTGTTGTGGGTGCACGGTCTTCGAAAGCATTCGATGTTAGCACTGGAATGTGGTTCGACAACATTTTCCTACCTGTCATGCTGCTGCTGCTGTTTCGCCTGGTAGAGCATTCGTCAAAGCCCTCATTCTTTGACATGATAACCCGAGTCAAAAGCCTCGAGGAGACGGGTTGGGTGAGGTTGAGGATATGTCCTGTCTGCTAAGGCTGCCCCCTCAGCAAGACACTTCCCACCCTTCGCAGGTAACTCGTTCGCGATCCATTGGCCTTAAGGACAAGAGTAGCGCCATACATCATTTATACATTCACTCCAAAAGAGTCATAAATGCCTAAATTCCCTCTCAGAACGGGTGACAGCGCGCTGCGATCTGTAGAGATAGAAAGACTGTCAAGAATTATAGCTTTGCTGAGTCCAGGCCATGGTGACAAGCGATTGTTGAGGCTGACGAGGGCGATGCAGGCCCTTTTTCTCCCTCCTGCTTAGGACTTCCCGGGACACGTGAACCATGTTTGTGAGTAGAAATATCCAATCATGTCACTCCCGCCTCCCCAAGTCCCCCGTATAACAGCGGTAACAGCGGTAACCCACGGCTCTCACCTCCGTAAGAATGGGCCACCGCTCCCAATTCCCAGGTATCATTACGCACAGGCATCTCGCAAGCCGAGAAATGTCCCGAAAAACCCTGCTTTTGTGCAAAGCTGAGTTGATGCTTATTTGCAGAACTCTCTAGGGTGTCCACAAGGCCACCAAGTGGTAGTGGAAGTGGAAGTCACCAGGAAAAGGAATGATTGTAAGAATCATACCCAATCCTCAGACAGCATCGACTAGAGCTGCTTTCACTTCTCGAGCTAGTGACGGTGTACCGAATTTGAAGAACCGTCGCCGGGAGTTCGGTTGTCCCAATATCTTCCGATTGCCTTCCTCGCGGTCTCGTTTTGAAATTCGCTGCGTGCTCGAAAGTGATTGAACACTGGGAATTCCAGTTGATCCATGATATAGGTATCCGGCTCTGCTTGAATGCGAGTCCAGAGCCGATATAGGTAGTTCTCTAAAATCTGGAGAACCTGTGGATCCATGTCACCGGTTTGACTGGTCTGAGCAATCTGGAGTGCTTGTCGAACCGTCATTTGAGGTGTCCGAGACATCGTCCGTGGCGCGATACAGTCGAAAGGATAATAGCTTCTGTAATAAGGAAACTTATACAGGCGTTCTCGTTGACGTCAAAAGTGGTATCGGTCTCAAGAAGCATATCAAGGTTAAGGTCAAACGCCCGGGGTTTTAAGCCGGGTCAAAGCCTCACGGAGGCGCTGCCCTGATCCTTTGGAAGGTTGGAGACGAGCGAGGACTCAGAAAGGATGGTCGTACAGAGAAGAATATACTCGTTCGGTTGACAGACAGCGAGAGAACGCCCAACAAGTGCACTGTGACCATGCCCTGTTCAAGGGCCACGGTCTGATAGGCTAGAGAGGGACAGATGAAGTGAACTGTCGAGTCGAGTCCGATTATGCAACGTGAAGGACTACCACTCGACCACGAACGAGAGGGGTGAGCACCATGACCTGATGTTGCCCAAAGCGATCTTCAGCAGAATGCGTCTGTGCCACCATCAGGATGCACACCGGGGTATGTAGTAGCAATTTATTTACTCGGTACCTGGGGTGAAGTCGGGTTTCCCAGAGGACGGAGCCCAAAAGATTGAAAATGGCCTTTATCTTGTCAGGGCAATTCATCATGGCGCCGCGATAGGCGGTCAAGACCCATTACTCCTCGATGTGGATTTGCGTCGGGATTGAGTTTTCGGATTTTAGACTTTCGTGAACAGAAAGACTGGGGCAAGGACGGAGCAGGGCCACCAGGACGCCGTGTGATGTGACGGAGTAGAAGAACTCGTGGTAACCAGAGCTGACCAAAATGCATGCATGCCTCTTTATCCCCCAGTGTCGGCTCCTTTTCCCCCCAGATAGCCAACGGCTTTTCGAGATTTGGTAGCGAAGGGCCGGAAAAGCTAGTATCGACTCTCGGATCATGCAGCAATCCCTTGAAACACATGTGATGGTGACCCAGCTGGATGAGCATTTCCAGTCCAGCTCCATGCTGCGGCGACCGGGTGAATTCCGAACCACCATTGGAACTCTATCGAGGCCCTCGGGTTTGGCTCTCGCAAGCCATCAAAACTTACCTGGTCATAAACTTTGGGATTCGGGGGTGTGGTGGCTCGTAACAACGGAGAGCGGGAATGCGAACAGGTGTGCACGTGTGTTGGGGATGCTGAACTGTGCCCTCCAGGGCTTTGTGCCCTGGTTGGGTACAAGCACGCAGAACCGTTTTTCAAATCTGGGATAGCGACTCGGATGGATGCTCTACGATCGGGCGATTATCCTCCAACGAGCCCGAGGTAAGGTCATAGGTGCGAGGCTTGGAGGTGTGTTGCCAAATGGTTCAGCCACCGATTCCACCACCAGCCCAAACTCGCCCAAAAGTTATCACAACAAAGCTAATGCGCGCAGCCTTTTTGGGAGGGGCAAACCGAAGATCGATCATGCCTCGACAATCTGTTTCCCTGCGTGTGATAACACTGTCGACCCCGAGATCGTGGCTAGCAGGTCAGCCTGGGTTTCCGCCGTGTTTTGTCCATGTAAAGACGAGAAAGCTGCCATGGGGGTTTTGACACTCATCCAGATTCATCCGCCCCAAATGTACCAAGAAAGTCCGAATGTCGAGATCAGATGGAGAATCGTGATTAACATGGCATTGCATCGGACGATGGCAGGGGCGGGCCGACCAGGATGCACATGGACGAAAGATTCGACAGACAGTAAGGCATCACATTCGGGATGTACTCGTCTGCAAGCATTCAGCAAGTTCAAACGTGGTAGCGAATGACACTCGACACCATGTTTACCACCCCACACGCTACGCAGGCCACGCAGGACTCCCTGTGACCTCTGCTCGGCATACGCGAGGATGCTGCACCGCCGATCCCCATTTCCCAGGCAGCCAGGGTGTTTGTCCAATGCCTGTGGATGCGGTACAGAAAGATGACTGGGCAGTCCGGCCGGACCACCCAATGGCGGTACTCGGACGGTAAGAGACTTATCTGCCGCTCACAGGCTAGGATGATTTGTCCCTTCTGGGGCCGCGGGCTAGGTAAACCATTGCGAGAAGGTATTTGTCTGTCGAGGTTCAAATGGCCGACCTGATTGATTGTGTTTTTTTTACCGTTGCTTTTCTTTTCTGCTGCCCCCCAGAATACTAGACTTCAAAGAATATAGCGAATCAAAACTTCTGTGCCTTCCCCTTCGCCTTGTGAAGAACATGGTGTTGCTCCAGCTGATAATGTATATACCGAGTATGCTGATTTCTATTCCGAGCTCGGATGTTTACTGCGGAATTGGAAAACCGAGGACCCTTGAGATCATCCGTCTCCCGAGCATATGAATTCCCGAAGGTTTTGGTATATGTCATGCGACTCATATTCCAGTGAACTCTGTCTGAGCCCAGATGCTGGCAAAGCTCTTCGAACCAATGGTGTGGTTTACAGAGCCAACCCAATGCTAACCGAATCTGCAGTCAATACGAGGGAGAGTTGTCAACGACGTATTTCTACCACGTCCAATGGATGATGGCGGCAGGCAGCGAGCAAGTTACTTGACGTGGCCAGCCGATTGGATGGATTTGCATCAGTGGGTGCTGAGATAGACAACTTCCTCGACCAGCAATCCTAGTGACGCTTCCGCGGTGTGCTTTCTTTTTAGGAGATACGGAGGACATGGACGCAGCTTGGGCGCAGGAGGTAGCAGGAGAGGGTGCAGACGGACTACCGCGGATGCCGGGTGTTCTGTAACTATTCGCAGAACCATCGACACAGCCACGAAGCACTCTGAGTATACGAGCTGCGACGTCAGTGACCAAACTGCTAGGACATGCAGTCAGGCATTGCCTACAGATGAAGGATCAGACGCATGGTTCCCTCCTATTCGCGCTTTTCAACAGTGGACACTGGGGGGAGTTGGGATGCCGTAGGGCTTCCGCCGACTTTGGTTATGTGCTGTGTGCCCAAAGGGAAAGCCGGGCATCGGTCGGTCTCCTCCAGAGTTACTCAAATACGGACTAACGACTCATTGGGCTCGAGGTTCGGTGACTGTCAATAAGCCTCGTAAAGGGCTTTGGTAAGAGCTGAAGATGGTTTCCAGCCGGCACAGCCAGACGAAGGGGCTTGGTGGGTGTTACCGTAACTAGTCAATGGAAGGAGGTATTAGAGGGAGGAAGGTATTCATCGGCCTTCCCAAGAACTAAGTTAGCTTGCTAGGCTATCAAGGGTGACTAACAGGAAGACAGTTGTCCTGGGCCTGTCCCATCTGCAACTACAATGCCACTTCCCTCGTTCAGCGGTCACTTTCACATCCACCATGATTTTCACCATTGGACCACAACCTCCTGCCTCATTTGACTTATGCGGCTCTACCTGCGCCTGTCGATGCGGGGGCTCTTATTTTCTCTTGCGCTATTCAACCTAAATTTCTTCTAATTCGAGCTACAGAACGACTGATGATCCAGACAACAATCCCTCGATTCGCCGGCACCACTGGCCCGCTCTCCCTGACGTCGAGCTGCGTGCATTGTTCTCCTCCTGCACCTGCTGTCGCAACCTCGGAACATCACTCCACCACCGTCAGCCCAGCCCGATCGGGTGCGTTTGACCTCGATACTTCAGCGACTTCTCTCCTTTGCAGTCCTCCCCCCCCCCCCCCCCTTCCCAGTTACCTGCTGTTTGGAAAGCGAGACATGGGTTTGTCCAAGTCGTGATCTAAAGTGGAACCATCATGGATCCAGCATCAAGCAAAAAGAC